CTTTTGGCATCGAAATACGATCAAAATCAGTGGTCGAGGTGACGATCGGCAGGTGTGGCACATGCTACAAGAACTTCCACTTCACGCAGAAGATAAAAAGCTGCTTCCAAAAATTCAGTCTTTCAACGGTGAAAAAGTATTTAATGAGACATCATGCTTCGGAATAAAGCGCTATGAGATGAATGCGCTAGTACAAACCAAACGAGTGAATGAATTGAGCCATGATTATGCCTTGCTGGAGAAAACGCTAATTACTTACGCACAGCAGGCCTATATGCTGCTTCACGATCAAGTGTCCGATGTCTTCTTACTTATCACGTGAAGTTCTTTAACTCGGTGAGCAATGACTTGCCGAATGTTTTCCGGGTATTTTGAGTCGAAAAACGGCTCAATAGTAGAAAAAGGTGCTTTATTCAATTGCATGCTGTATTCGATAAAGCATTCTGCTGCCTTCTCTCGTTTCGTGACAAATAAAGTCGATTCTTCGCCTTTTTTCTCTGCTTGGATTGCTACGTGATTGTAGACTAACGATTGCACGTAGCTAATCTCTTTCAGTCGCCTCAAGTTTTCCACGGACGCAAATATCGCAGCACTTGTGTTAAGCATTTCGATGACCTTCATAGCCGCAGAATCTGGTTCTTTGGCACCTTCTTTACTACATGTTATCCTTGCCATCATTGTTTTGGCCAGCAGTAGCCAACATTCCCCACGCAGATTAACGCTACCATGTTCCATCACTAATGGCATTTGATCGTTGATCAATGAGTTCGCATCTTGTAACTTGCCCATTGCAAGGTACACTTCAGCCATTACTACGTGAGCCTCTGCTAGTAAAAGGTCGTAATGATGACAAGTACAAATGTCAATACTTTTTAATAATGTATTGAGCGATGCAAATGGTGCATGCGGCGCAGATGCTTGAATACGTGTTCGACTTGTAGCAATCAAAACTTGAGCATGGAGATACGCAAAACCATACTCACTGCACATAGATTCTAAACGCTTAAGCAACTCAAGGCTTTGTACACTGTCACCAATCGCAGTTTTTAATAAAGCTTCAAAAAAGAGGGCTGCAAGATATGCAGGTAAGTCTTTTCCCTGGGGAGATAAAGCCTGTACCGCTTCTAAATGATAACGTGCGCGTGTAAATTCTCCTCTTTGCAAAGCCCATAAAAAAAAGAGGTGGTGCACGCTTCTCTGATATACCATGTTATTGAATAAATGACGGTTCTGCACGTTGTGATGGTCACCAGAAGCAACATCGACAAGAAAGTTAAGAGCTTGCTCGTAGACATTTGAATCATCTTTTGACACTGTGAGCCTTGACAACGCCATTTGACTGATGATTTGCACAATTTCTCCAGTGCTAGCAGAATCTTTATAGCATAGAAGATGTATACGACTAAAGATTTGTGCGAGCGGAAAATGAGCATACACATTCCACTCTACGGCTGCAAATACCGTAATTTGTCCACTTAGCTTCCACACGGTATCGAGAAGAGCTTCTGCCGATTTAATCCAGTCTAGCCCAATGCCTCCGCATTTGCCACTATTGTCAACGTCAGAGCGTCTATCTGCTTGCATTTGTGGTGCCATCATCGGCCGCGTGCCAGGTAAACACGAAGCTGGAGTACCTATCGAGGCAATGAGCTGTATGGTCTCTTGTAGACGCGCCCAGATGTGCAGAGGCCGAGGAGCGGGTGCATGTGCAGCAATTCTGTGCGGAATATATTGTGACGCCGTCTGCACCGTTTCAGACTTCGCTATCAGGCCACGCAATAAAACATTTTCAGCTTCCGTCAAAATTGCCAGCACTTGCAACGACGGCAATCGTAACTCTTGGGCTCGATCTAGACAGCTGAAGATTAACTTCAAGACAGCCTTTTTAGAACGTCCACACTTTTGATTAATGCAAATTAACCATGCCAACGAAAAGGCAACACATATATGATCTCCATGGTGTTGAGCTGCTCGAATTGCTTCTTGAATGCTTTCTTCAGCTGCAGTATAGTGATCAAACAGTATTTGTAAACCAGCCAAATTCAGTGCAGCATACTGGATGCCACTTCCTCGAAAGCACATTTCAGCAACTTCCGACGACGTCAAGTCATTTTCTTTACGAGGCGAGAGAACATCATGGTACTGGTGTAAACTATCAAGTGCACCTTGATAATCCCGATCATTTAAAAATGATAAATACCGTGCAAAGAGCACATTGGGGTTTGAACTATCCATCTTTGAGCGAAGCAGGCGTAGCTGTTCTCCCCTTGACTGAATCTCTACATGTTGCCTTCTTTGACTTCCTTTCGTATCTCGGACGATATCATTCATTACATAATTTAGCTGGTCATTTGACCACACTGCAAAGTCATTGACTTCTAAAGCAGCTTCTGGGGTGAGCAGCTTTTCAGACAGTATCTCTGAATCAAATTTTGAAGCTAAAGGCGTCACCATGTTGGATTGTGTTGAGCTCTCAGAAAGCGTAGCGAGTTCTGATTTAATCGGTGATAATAACAACTCGTTTTCATCAACTTTACCTAGTTTCCACAAATTCTGGGACGTTGGGGAACTTGCAACGTCTAAAGCATATTTCTCTGTCTCCATGTCTTTTCGAAATTGCTTTAGATACTCTTTTACGTCGTCCAAGAGTCTCGATAGACCGTCAAACAATAGTCGATTTACCTCTAGCAAGAAACTGCGTACAAATATGCCAAGTAAACTGGTTCGAAGTAATGTAGATTTGGCGGAATTTGCATCATCCATGTCCTCCACTTCATCAAGTGTACTCTGAAGTGGTGCTACACACTCTGAAATATTCTCCACGACATCGCATACAGCATCAGGGCTTTCAAGTTGCGTCAAGATACTCACCACCAGCCAAGATAGCTGCTCAAAGTCTCGGACATTGTCCAAATTGATCTCCAACCGATACAATAGACTTTTAAGAGTCGTAAATCCTATCCCGCTATTGCCAGAACTTTCCGTATTAAAAATCGTGGGGTGCTGAATCTCGAAGCACAAAAATCGAGCCAAGGCATTTAGCGACGTTTTGGATATAGCTGAAGGGACTCGTTGTCCATGCGACTCGTCTATTAGAGATGCAGCTAAGTCTTCCCCAGGCTTGGCATCCTGTTGCTGCTGTCGTACATATTCTGAGATCAAGAGACAAACACTCAGCACGTAGCTGTTGACTTTCCACTTGCGCATCTTGCAGTACCCGGATAGAAGTATTACATATTTTTACAGTAGCGTGTACATTAAGTACGAATCGGTTACTAACACTACGTGCAAAATTATAGAAGGGCTATTCTTTCTTGCATTCCTCTTCGTGGTCCGACAACGCCCCGTAGATCATCTCGCAAACATCTCGCATCGATCCAGTGTCCAGTTCCTCCGATTTAGCACCAAGCGTGCTCGATTCCAGCAAAATTGAATTTTCACCACAGCGGTAGATTTGCCACTTCATAAAACCTGTCACGATGTCGTACACGACAAAGGGTCCTTCGCGGTCGGCAACCACTTCGCATCCGATGAGCGCCTGCGCTTTCCCTTAATCAAAGTCGTTCTTCTTTGCTTCCACGATACATATCTAAGTCTTACCACGGGTGAGCACGAACCCAAAATTTCCGTTTGCGTAACTTCGTTGATGTCCACCGACTCTTTGACCTCTAGCTTCACGTCGACAAACAAACTGTAAAGCATGATAAGTACGGGAGTGATAAAGTGATAACGCTTTGCTTCTCTCGATGCGTCGGTGTATCCGCTCATAGCTTTCGCTGCGTATTTTTAGTACTTGACCAAAAAGTCGAAAGCATGATCGGGAATCGGCTTGCGCTCCTGTTTATAGCATTCGTGACCAAGCACACTCTTGACATCGCACGTAGGAGTACCCAGTCGACGAACTATCCACATCAATCGTCTTAGCCTTCTTGTTCTTGTCGAGGATTTTGTTAAGTTCGCGCCAGCGCTTCCGTCGATTTTCACTGTGAGTTACCGCTGAGGATAGAGGGCTATCTATGGCAACGCTTGACCTATCGGAAACCACCAGCACGTGGATCGTCCTCTTCGTCGGAGTATCACCAGAAAAGTCACCAAGCTCGTCTACTGGATCCATTTCCACGTCCAGCAGTGCCTTAATGTTTTTGGGAACACCTCCAATCCGAATAGCAATCACTGCAAGATCCTTCGACTCCAGCCAGGCTCCATCTTTCTTCGCCAGGAAGTGATGCAGCTTGTCTGCATCAACATCTTTGAAGTCGTTCGGCTTCTCCGCCTTGATCGCCTTCTTCAGCTCCCAGACCTGTGCACTATCATCGATCTGTTGAAAACAAGTTAAGTCTCCACCTGAGTAAACCAGGAGGAGTTATGAAACTCCCAACCATTTGCATAATTACATAGCTACAAGCAGAATACATTCACTCTTGGAAACTCACCTTCAAACCACCAGGTCCTCCCTTCTATCTGTCATTTACAGCAGTATGCGCAGAAGTAGCGTATCGGGCCACCGATTTAGCTCAACAGGTTATGAGTTCATCACAACAAAATGATAATGTCGTTCACAGTGTGACGGACAAGAAGGAAGAGCTCACTCCAGCAGCAGTATTGAGTAAAATGCGGGAAATGCTGCTACAGATGAAGGAAGAAGTACAAGATGTGAGGAAAGAAGTAGCATCAATTAGGTGATAACGGACAGCGTCATCAGCAGCCTTCCGTACTTAGTAGTGCTTCGGCAGAAGCATTTAGGAGTGTCATGCTTGAACGCATCAAGAGTCAATCCCAACTTCACATGCCGGTATCACGTGGTTCAGCTCTGGGAGCACGAGATCACAATATGTCCTACGATGACGCGAGACACAGAGAACAGCAGCTCCAAGCGTATAGAGAGCAAGAAGAGGCACAGTGGGAATGCATGCATTTCCACCGCAGCATCAGCAGAAACAATTTGGCCCAAGGATTCCTACATTGAAGCAAAGGATACCCTCTTTTAAAGGAAAATAGACTTATAACGGTTTAGGATCCGGCTTTGAGCTCTGGGCTTTGCAATTCATCAGAGAGGCCAACATGGCTGTCACTCTCTCTGGCTTTGAATGGTCAGAGGAAATCAAGGTTGATGAGTTTAAAAGCAAATTAAAGGGTACTGCAGCCGGTTACTTCCAGAGACGAATCCATCAATGGTGGGATGAACATCCCTCATTTGGTCATGCCATTGACCAACTCACCAAGGCTTTTGCATGTAAGATATC